CACTTCTCTCTTTGCTGAAATGAAAAGATTATTACCTGGGGATTTTAAATATGTGTGGGTATGTATGCACTTTGAAGTTTTTTCCATTATCCTTTCTGGGGTAGAAGAAAAAGGACAAAACAGTATGATAGCAAATACATTGGCCTAGTTTAGCCTCATTGAATATATTTTTGGATGCAAGTTAGCATAATTTAGTACTTGGAATTATGTAAATTGCAGTTATCCTCTAGTTGCTATAAAGTATTATTTCATCTAGAAGAAGGCAAAGCAAGCACTGCGGTTGTATGTGGCCCTTTAGTTAATTTTGTTGTGCTGTTTCTTCTGAATATTGAGTTCTGAGACATCGGTTTCAAAGCACAAGTTGCAGTGAAAATAGGGCAATGAGGAGCACGGTGAAGCAGCAGCAACAGCATTATCACAGCAATTGTTGCTATAGTTTATCTCGTATCTTTTATAACATTGTACTATTAAATAGACTCACATAATGGGGAAAGAACAGCAGTGATGGAATGTTTGGGCATTTAAGAATCAGGGTTTCCAGCAAAGTAACTGCAGGCACCAGTATGTCTGCAGACATTCCTTTCTTCCTTTTAAAATTTCTTTATTATTATTATTATTATTATTATTTAAAAGCAAGCTAGGCTGCCACGTAAATGCATTTCTATGAACCTAATGTCAAAGCTTTCTTTCTCGTAATGCTTTTGAGCCCTGTGCTTTTGAGTCCTGGGACCGTGGCATAAATATTGTGGAGGATAGCAAGGCGCAAGAAATGACCAAAGGTGACAGTCGGATAGTCAAAAACCTTTTACCTTTACCTTACTTTTTGTCTGGTGATGTCATGATACTCTGCCTTTAAACAGATAGTCCTCGACACAACCATAATTGAGCCAATAATTATGGCCTAAAGTCATGCCAGTCATTAAGCAGGTCACTATGTGACTGTGCCCAATTTTATGACTTTTTTGTGGCCATCATTAAGTGAACGTGGTAATCCTAAAGTGAACACCACATTGATAAGGCAAACGTTGCAGTTGTTAAATGAATCCCTTGTGCTTAATGGACATTTTTTTTTGTTTTTTTTGCTGGAAACTGGAAATAAATGCCAGTTTCCTGCAAAAAAATACCTTCATAAATTGTGGTCACTTCAGGATACTGCAAAGGAACCTAAATGCAGGGCAGTTGTTGAGCACACAAAATGCAATCACATGATGGCAGCCATCAGAACATTAAATCTGGGTCTTATGTAGCCCTTGGGCAAGTTGGTTGTAGCTTCAAATGGTCATTAAGTGACCAATTATAAGTCGAGGACTACCTGTAAACTTGCAGGTGATGCTATGGCCCAAGTATAAAAGGGCACAGCTCATATTTCATCAGTTTGGCATATTATGGTTAGAAGCAGGTGCTCATGGTCAGAGACGTTCTTAGAAAACAGCTTAGAGTTTTCTTATTGCAGTGAAGAGCTTCCTAGTGGAGCAAAACAAAAATAATATTTAGCACTACCGTTAATCAGATATTATGTCATTCTTAGCATCAATGTAATCTCACAACCAAAGAACATATAAGCTGACCACATGAATGAAGCTTGACTAGTGCAAAAGTGATTTTGGTCCAAGAATTTTTTTTTAAAAAAAAAACCAAGGCATATACCAGCCTGAGTGGCATGCAGCTTCGAATGCATAATTCATTAGTGGGATACCAGATTAAAAGGAAGATTTTGCATTTCTATTGTATGAGCTTTCTGTATTTGCTTCAGAAATAATATGGTCTCCAGGATGAAAATAATTACAAGCCAACTCTCTTGGTGCCAGCAAGATTGTAAATAAGATATTTTCTCTTTCAAAGTACATGTTTTAATAAGGCAATTTGAAATGTTGCTACTGTGCAGCTCGCCCGCTGTATGAATGTGCAAGAAAAAATAAATATTATGTACTAATAAGGGCTACCTTCCTTCTTACCTCTAAGCCCCAGAGGAGACCATAATCACAGAGAATTGAGCAGGGAGAGGCTTAGAATCTGTTTCCAAATTGCACTGTCTGCAGTTTTGTAGAAAAGCCATGAAAATAACAAGGCCTGGCTTGGCGCTTGTGTTAAGTTTTGTTTCTTTCCTAAGCAGCCTTCTGTGTAAAAAAAAAACAAAAAAACATTCATGTATCTCTCTCCTGTATATGCATATCTACCTAAGATAAGAGTAAGAATGGTTTGCCAGGAGGCTGGGAAGCCCATGAAGGCATTTGGGGTTGAGAAAAACACGGGAAACAGCCAGGACTGCGGCGTTCAAAAGTGGCCCTCAAAATGGTTTTAGGGAATTGCCTATCATACACATGGTGTTTCCTTTCCAATCTCCCAAGTCTGGGACTGGAACTGGTATTTTGAATGTGAATGAATGAAATATATATATACAGCTGGGCAGCAGAGAACCATACCTCTCCAGCTCACAAAACACTCACCTTCCCTTGCTGGAATGTTCGATGGGGCTCAGAATTTGAGAAAAACTGTTTAAGATAAGGCTCTACATCCAACTGCAAACAAGTAGCCAGATTCCAGTATATTGAGATAACTGCTGGCTTGGTCTGAACTGGAAGGAGGAAAATAAAATATTAACACTTTTCTCCATGTTGGCATTATATAACCATGCATATCTTTTGCCCAGACCTTTATTAATGAGCCAAAAAATCCATGTTTGGAGCTGTAGCCTTTTGCCTTGCTCTAGTTCAGGGATTCAGTTTTTAAATGCAAAATAAAACAACAAGAATCATTTAGGTTCAATATAGAATTAAAATGAACTCTCTCTCTCTCTCTCTCTCTCTCTCTCTCTTTGAGAAATGGGAAATAATCCTGCACTCAGTCTTGTGGCTTAAACTCAACTGATTTGGGTAGCATTTAAGCAACCTGACTTAAAGCCCGGAAAAGGATTGTAGCCCTGACATGGACTTGCAATGGCTAAGTGCTATTTATCTCTGCATTCCATTCCTGGCATAGGAAGTGGTTGCTCACTGATGTGGCAACTGCATTTCCAGGAGCAGCGAGAGCTGAAATAGCATTACTAGCTCAGCTCTTCAAGGCATGGCAACTCCATAGGGTTACAGTGATCTTGAAGGTCATCTGCTCTTACACTTCACTTGATGACTAAATTTTCAATATTTCATCAAATCATTCCCAAGAGGAAGAATGGAAGTACCTGAAAAATGCAGGATGATCCTCCAGAATATAGATAAGGTCAGAATATTGATGTAGAAGGAGTCCCACAGTCAGAGCAATCCAGGTTCAAATGATGCCAGTCCATACAGCAAGGCAACCAAACCCTATTTAAATGAGCTAAGAGGCATAAAGTACTTCAAGAAGATCCTAACTGTGTGTGCAGGTGTATCTTTTTCTAGGATGTGATTTGATGTTGCCTTTCCTCCTGTGAATTTTAGGAAGACTTTGCCTCAACAGCCTCTGGCAAATGCCAGCTTAATTCATTGTCAGTTACATTCCAGAGATATCAAGAGAGCAGATTGGCTGTCCAGTTTTTTGTGGTGGAGTGTTGCACTGGAGGCAAACAGGTGAAAAGGCACAGTTTATAAGAACACTTGAAAACCAACCAAGATATTTAGATGTGCACAAAAGATGCTTTAAAGCTGGACTTGGCTGTCTAATGCTCCCATCCCCCAAAGCGCTTGGTGATTGCAGAAACCTAGAGTGCTGAAATGCCATCAATCAAGTTGACCCAGTTCAGCATTATAAATTATGTTCAAATAAATTCAGTTAGACTCAAGCACACACTAACATATTTTTCTTTTTAAAAAGTGTGTTGGTAAAAGCCTAAATGCAACTGTGAAGCTGCAAATCTGAACCATTTAAACTATAAAATATCAACTGAACCCAAGTGGGACTGGACAGTATGGGGTCTGTTAGTGTTTCATATCTTCTCTGCAGAGTTTGTCCTGGGAACTTCAGATCTCGCTACATTATCAATCAGTAAGTTGGGAGCTAAATTCTTTTGCCTTTTAATGCTGAAATGTCAATATTATGATATTTTTAAAATTCAAAACACCATCTGCATGTTTATAATACTTGTTTCACCTGAATACCTTTCACTAGAGGTGAGGTAAACAGAGAAACAGAGATGGGCATATAAAATATGTAGATGGCTAATTGCAACCCCTTTTATCAGAGCAAGTGATAAAACATTGAACAGGATTATATGCTGTGTAGTATAACCCTGCAGTTTGCTTTGCTGCGAAAAAGGAAAGTTGTATTTGGTTGCTCTTGCTGTAGCAGCCATTTTGTGGAGCCATTTTGTTCACAAGGTTCTATAGAAATATGTAGAAACATACACAAGGTTCTGTGTATGTTTGTTTTTTTTCTATGCTGCTTGGCAAAACCACCCTTTATTCATACAAGGGCTGTAGGTCTATGGAGATTTGCAGTCATCCAGGTCATGGTTGTGCCAAAGCAGTGAAACACCTTCAAAGAAAAACCAGAAAGTCCAGTTGCCTCCTGAAAAAGCACCCTACAGGACAAGAGCTGTAGGGTTGATAGTTCTGCAGTTCCTCGGTTGTTATTCCTCAGTTGTATGAAGCACAAGAACACGATTGTCTTAGCACAAGGCACTACATCCTCCAAGCCTTTGTGCGTGCCTTCGCTCTCCTCAGCTAGCACTGATTTTCTGGCAACAGGCTGGTTTAAAAGTTTGCTACAATGAGAAATAGCATTGCTTTAGTACTGCTGATTTGTCATTAAATTGTTAAGGTGATGGGAAGAAAGAGGATATGATTTAGTAAGCAAATCATATCAACTGTGTCTTGAGCTTTAGGATTAGTTCTGACAATGGTAAAGAAGCTCCCAGCTCTGCAAAAACAGGCAACGGATGGCCCAAGAGATTTTTTCCCGTTCTGTTTGGTTGTCTGATATATTTATGAATGTTACAGCTTACATGACTAGACATTTCCTGGTATTTCACAGCATACTGTTTATTAATCTTGACAATTTTATTTATCCTTGATTTTTTTTTCCAGCCAGAAGAACTCACCAATGCTCTGGAAATCAGCAATATTGTGTTTACTAGCCTCTTTGCCCTAGAGATGCTTCTGAAGCTTCTTGTGTATGGCCCGTTTGGTTACATCAAAAATCCCTACAATATCTTTGATGGAATCATTGTAGTAATCAGGTAATTAAACCAAGTTTTCTTAAATACCATAAGTAGTTGCAATCCATAACATTTAATCCATTTATTTATGCCAATGCCACCTTATTTTAAACTGCTTTCTTCCAACTGGATTGTGCAATAAAACTCTGGGATTTTTTTTTTTTTAAATGGGTTGAAATATTTTTGAATATATTCGATTTTTTTACTCATGTGTTGTATATGGTATGTTCTCTGGAACTGCTGACAATTCTAGGAGTTATAATTCATTTGAAGGATGTCCAGTCAAAATAAACTACTTTATGACAATATGTATGGTTATATTTACCTACAACCACACTAATTGGGTTCTTGTTTTGAGGAGGAGTTATAATGTCTAGTACAGGGGTCCCTAACTCCCAGCATCGGTCCACAGCATGCCAGAAACTGATCCGCAAAAACAAGTGGAGCCCCATCTGCAGGATGCAGGCAGCACATGAAACCACACACCCCTGGTCTGTGGAAAAACCCCGCTCAACAGAACCGGTCCCTGGAGCCCAAAATGTTGGAGGCCACTGCTCTAGTACAGAGGGGCTACTCAGTGTAATCCACCCACCACTATTGTTTTCTTTGCAGATAGCAATCGCTATAAATAATAGGCCTGGCGACAGTACTTGTTTACTTTTTATATCTAGCTGACCACTTGCACATCACTTTACAAAAGAATGAAAGATAAGATTTGTACCTGCCAGTGTAAGAGAAATCATTCAGCATTGAACAATGATTATAACTGAAGTAGAAAAAAATATGGTTCTCCAAAATGAAGACTACAATAGTAATAGCACTTAGACTTATATACCGCTTCACAGTGTTTTTACAGCCCTCTCTAAGCAGTTTACAGAGTCAGCCTATTGCCCGCAACAATCTGGGTCCTCATTTTACCCACCTTGGAAGGATGGAAGGCTGAGTCAACCTTGAGTCTGGTGAGATTCGAACTCCTGGAGTAAGCAGTGAGTTAAGACTGCAGTACTATATTCTAACCCCTGTGCCACCACGGCTCTTTGCATGTCTGCTCAAGGTGTTGCCCAAATGCTAGCTATTGTTGATGGATACTGTAAGACAGCAGACCCTAACCTTTTTGATATCAGGGATTAGGTTTCTGGAAGACAATTTTTCCACAGACTGGGTGGGGGGGAGGATAAACGCGCAAACTAGATCCTGCATATGCACAGTTTTACTTACCCACTGCTCACCTCCAGCTCAATTCCTAACAGGCCACAGACCAGTGCCAGTCCACGTCCCGGGAATTGGGGACCCCTGCTATAAGACTATTGCCTCCTTACAATTCTTTATTTTAAAAGCACATTTGGTTTCTCCAAGTAAGGACTGCTTCAATGAAGGACTGCACTGTACTCTGTAAATCAGGACATATGGATATATCATTAACATGAATTCCCTGAAGAAAATGCAGGGCAAATTATATGTAGTTTCTATTTGCAGAATTCCAATCGAAGAAATCTATTAACAATGTTCCCCATGCAACATTTATCCTCAGAGCACCTCTGTATCTGCTTTTCTACTTCGTTGCATTTTTAGGGCACATAACAAAATCTGTTTGAGTGTGCGCAGGAATTAAAAAATAGCAACAACTATGAATGCCTTTCTCTGGTTGTTGTTTTTTTCAGAAATCCTAAAACCATTGAAAACTTTGAAATGTATACAATTCTTGACTGGGAATGTTATTATGGAAACTTCCTTTGGAAGTTCCTCAGCAATCGTAAGATTCAGATCTTTCTCTCAAAGATTTCCAACTCTTCATCTGAATATTCTCAGTTAAAGAAATATGAGCAGAAAAAGCCCTGTCAGTGAGTGAATGGCCATAGACAACAGGGCTGTCAAATTTGCGGGCCACGGGCCAGATGTGTCACATGCTGGCCACGCCCACACCCAGTTTAGCAAAGGGGGGGAAGTCCCAATAGGTCACGTGACACTGCCGTGACGACGTGAGGTTGACACCCCTGATATACAACATCTTGCTGGGCTCTGTTTCCCTTCGGCAGCTAATTTAATTTTTTTTTTTAAATATATTTATGATTGAAACCAATAGAAGAAAAATAATGAATACTATCCAACTAAGTATTGATTTGGGAGATAAGCAGAAAACCAGTCTGATTTCTGAGTTGGAGGATCTACAGCCCTCCCACAATACTGCTAGCTTTATTCTTTTGTGTCTTTCTTCAATGTCAGAGTTCCAATGTAATAAAGAATTGCCTTCAGATGCTCAGAGAGGGGAATTGCTAGGCTAGATTTCTCCCTCCAAAGAAATATTTAAATCCAGAGGTAAAATTATGAATCTTATGAATCTTATGGTCACTAGGACAAACCTCCAAGGACAATAGACTTGCGATAATAATACAGGTAGCCCTCGACCTACGACCACAACTGAGCCCAACATTTCTGTTGTTGAGTTAAGTGAGTTTTGCCCCATTTTATGACCTTTCTTGCCACAGTTGTTAAGTGAATCACTGCGGTCGATAAGTTGGTAACATGGTTGTTAAGTGAATCTGGATTTCCCCATTCACTTTCCTTGTCAGAAGTTTGGAAAAGGGGATCATATGACCTTGGGACATAGCAACGGCTATAAGTATGAACCAGTTGCCAAGTGTCTGGATTCTGATCACATGGCCATGGGGATGCTGCAAAGGTTGTAACTCTGAAAAAATGGTCATAAGTCATTTTTTTCAGTGCCATTGTAAGTTTGAATGGTCACTAAATGAACTGTTGTAAGTCAAGGGCTACCTGTACTTCCTCTAAAAAGCTAATTTATTACTTTAATATTAAGTAAATATTCTCTTTTTTTCTTAGTGTGTGGGAGATTGTTGGACAGCAAGGTGGAGGCTTGTCTGTTTTAAGAACCTTCCGTCTTATGCGAGTTCTAAAACTGGTCCGGTTTATGCCTGCTCTTCAACGCCAATTAGTGGTCCTTATGAAAACAATGGACAATGTGGCCACCTTCTGTATGTTACTGATGCTCTTCATCTTTATCTTCAGGTGAGTTCATAATAATAATAATAAAAAAAACTACCTGAGCATTGGGACTATTGTCAGAGGCCCCGCTCTGAGTGCTTTCACATGCTGCATTTTAGCAGGTGAGAGTAGACATTTTAATGATGTTCTCCAATTATGGAGGAATGCCTTCTTTAAAATAGCCTGCCAACTTCTATTTTATTTAGATGCCAGACAAAGATATTTATAAGAAAATAAAATTAAAAGTATCCAGCCTTTTAATTTTCCTGTATTTCGTAGATTATTTTGTTGAACTTCTTTGTGACTTCCTTTTACAATATTTTAATTGGTTATTGTTTCATTATATTTTGCTTGGGATTTATTTGGTTTCTTGTTTATTACTGAAAAACTTTTCCTATAGGGCAATTAACACATTTTAGATATGAGTAGATTAAATAATCATTTGTGATTCTAGTTTTCTTATGTTGCAACTTCTGTTTTAACATGAAATTATCCAGATTTAAAAGAGGAAGTAATTTCTGCTACAGCTCTGTAAATGTAAATCTGTAGCTATTCTTTTTTCATCTCTGTAGCTTTATTAGAAGTGGTCAGAATTTGAAAAGAGATAAACACTTTTAGAAGCATTCAGATCCTAAGGATTCTGATTCTTTTGGATATCTTTGTAATGTAGAAAATTTAAAACCCACTGGTTTGGCTTTGTTCCCATATCCTGTGTGTTTTTGTATTTTATATAAGCCATAATACAAGTTGCATATATTTACCCCATCAAAGTTATTTTCTAACTTATTAAAACTGACCTTCATTTTCTTAAATGAGAGGGAACAGAGTAGTAAGGAACGTGCTCCAAATATTCTTTAGTTCCAAAGTCTAACTCTTCAATCTCTCTTTTAACCCATTTCTCATTGTTATTCAGTATCCTTGGGATGCATCTCTTTGGGTGTAAGTTTGCCTCAGAGAGAGATGGAGACACCCTCCCTGATAGGAAGAATTTCGATTCCTTGCTCTGGGCCATTGTTACTGTTTTCCAGGTAATACATCAGTTATGGTCCATAATTCTTTATTTTTATCTTTAAATGCCTGTCATTGTAAACTGTTTTACAGCTGGGATTTTTGAAAACAATATAGTGAATGTCAATTGCTTCTTCATAGACCGTGTCTATAACACAGGTGTAATGAAAAATGAATAACAGATTCTAGTAATTAAGATATTGAATAATAAAACCCTACTATAAATTGACCTTCTGGTTATGTTTGTGCAACCAAATGGATTCCCTCTGTAGAAATAAGAATGTACACTGATTTTATGTTTGTTTTATATAAAGAGCCTGTATTCTTAAATAAAAAATGCTATTTAAAGAAAAGGGCATTTAGCAGCACAAGTTAAAGTGTCTGTTAATTCTAACCCAAAATAGTGAACTTCCTTAAATAAAATTATCTGAATTGTGAAAGACTGAGATCTGATTATCCCTTTTGAACAAATTGTTATAGTCAGGAATGTTGAGAGAAAAAGCTGATTATTTAAATAAAATATGGAAACATTGATATATATACAGTTAGAAGCACACAGAGAAACACTTATTCCAGGCGTTTTCAAGTTGCTTCTTTTTGTTTACTGTTTCTGGTGATGCTAGTTAGGCTTGAAAAACTGAGGCAGCTACCAGTTAGAAGAATGTTAGGGAGAATCAGCCACATCTGGCCAGAAGCAGTGAGTATTATGCATTACTCAGTCAGCTGTGAAGTTTCTTAGCCACTAAAAAATTTATTACAGTTTACAAGGATAAGGCAATCTGTGCCACAGTTCTGATACTGAGTCACACTGGTGACACACCTCAAAAGGCAAAGAAGGCATAACAAGTTCTAAGTGCATACTATATTACCGTTTTCAAAAATTACATATATGCGTGATGCTTAGCATTTAGAAATGCAATGGTTTTACCTGGATCATAGGTTGGTAGAAAAGTGACTGCACTTTAAGATTGTCTCGTATCAAATGATTCCTGTTTTCATTCCAGATTCTGACTCAGGAAGACTGGAATAAAGTCCTCTACAATGGCATGGCTTCTACCTCTTCCTGGGCGGCTCTCTACTTCATAGCCCTCATGACATTTGGAAATTACGTTCTCTTTAATTTGTTGGTTGCTATCTTGGTGGAAGGCTTTCAGACGGAGGTAAAGCCTCGAAGGACTTCTTTGATTTCTCTTTGATAAAGAGAGTGTGGAGGGTTCAGAACCCCTGTTTGTAAAATGATTAGAATTTCCAAAAGAAACAATTGCTTCGGTAAAAAGACAGACCCTTTGGTTGGTATCAAAGACCCAGCTTCAAGTGTTGTGAAAGAGCACACGATCATGCAAACACATTGCCTTTGAACCAAGCTTTGTTGCATTTAAGAGCCAAATTCAAAACTCGCTGATAAATATGCATGAGATGAGTCGGCCCATTGTCCCATTTGCTGCTATGTCTTTGTAGACATTTTCCTGCCTCCATAAAAGCAACGCGTTGGCGTCTTTTATTTATTCTATTTTTGCCTGCCCCTTTTGGATTGAAGCTACATCTTTCATTAACTAGAGTCCACCTTTGCCATCATTGCCAGGCAGCTGGGGGAAAAAAAACATTTGAACTGAACTTGGGATGGTTTCAAGGCAGCCTAAAAATATTTTAGATAAATAAGATCAATAAACATGGCGTCTGTAATTTTACTAGCAAGCTAGTATGTCTGCATCTTGCAAAGGCTAGGAACAATCAACCACTGGAATGGTTTGCCTTCGGAAATTGTGGGTGCCCCAGTGGAGGCTTTCAAGAAGAGACTCGACCGACAGTCAGTCTGAAATGGTATGGGGTCTCCTGCTCAAGCAGGGTGGTTGGACCAGATCGGGGTGGGCTTCAAAAATTTTAGCAAGGGGTTCTCTGCCCGGTTGCTGGGTGGGCATGGCATGGTGGGCGTGGCCTAGTCGGCCTCCTGCACTATGGTGGGGGGGGGCATTTTTGCCCTCCCCGAGTTCCGGAGGCTTTCCTCGAGCCTCCAGAAGGGTGAAACTGGCCTCCCCAGGCTCCGGAGGCCCTCTGGAGGCCAGAAATGGCTCGTTTCTGGCCTTCCCAAACTTCTGGTAGGCCCATTTTTCGCCCTCCCCGAGCCTCTGCGCGTACCCTGCACTTACCTGCATCCAAAACAGGCCATATGGGGACTCCTGGGTGGGGTGGGTGGGGTCAGCCAGGAGTGGGATTTGGGGGTTCTCCGAACTGCACAGAATCTTAGCTAGAGGTTCTCCCAAACCCCTGCAAACCCCCAACAGCCCACCCCTGGACCAGATGACCTTCAAGTCCCTTCCAACTCTGTCCTATTCTTTCTGCATACTTTGGGAGGCAGCAAATAAGCCAGCCTTCAAGCAATAAAATCTCAAAACACTGTTGCAGGTCTCAAGGTGGCAGTATTCAACACAACCCCCAGGCATAGGTAGCACGGCTGGGATTATTCAGTAGCATTTAGACATGGGCTTCTAAATCAAAGTGATGTTGATAGTGTGAGTTTGTTGCCTGCTTCTCTTTTTTATCCTATTCATTTGCAGCATAAGGAAAACATTTTAGAAAACCTCCAGACTTTTTATTTATTTGCATCCTAACATGGTATAGGAAGATGATTTATGGAAGCCTCTTAGGACAAAGTAACCATGAGTTCTCTGTTTGCTTAATCCTTAAACTTCGTTCCTTGTACTTGGCTCTCTGCTTGGGCCTCCAGGTCCTAGCTATTTTTTTCTCTGAGATAATATCAGAAGGAAGGGATACTGTGCCAACCCCATTGAGCCGTCAGAGGTTTGTGGAGTCCTTGGTGCTGTCTGAGCTTGGTTGATTGCTTGCTGACATGTCATTAACTGGCTAGTGCTAAAAGAGAGTGGGTTTTGCTCTCTGTTTATATACAGTAGCCTGCCCTGTCTGTTAGTTGGAGGTAATGTTTTTGCCATGGTAGTTCTTTGATTAGGCTGCTGTTTACTGCTTGATTGCTTGTCTGAGTTGGTAATTCCTTGATTAGGGTATTGTTTTCTGCTTGATTGTTTGTCTGGTGTTGCTCCTAGTATTAATTCCTGCTTTATCTGGATGTTGATAGCTGCTGAGGAGGTATTCTGGCTTAATGTTTCTTTTTTAGCGTTTTTGTTGTCTCTTTTGAATGGCTTGTAAATGTTATTTATCTCTAGGTGCCTGTTGATGACTGATTCATCTGAGTGCCAAGCTTCCAGGAATTCCTTAGCATTTGAGGATTTAACTTAACCTAAGGTGCTGTGGGACGCAGTGGCTCAGTGGCTAAGACGTTGAGCTTGTCGATCGAAAGGTCGGCAGTTCAGTGGTTCGAATACCTAGTGCCGCATAATGGGGTGAGCTCCCGTTACTTGTCCCAGCTTCTGCCAACTTAGCAGTTCGAAAGCACGTAAAAAATGCAAGTAGAAAAATAGGGACCACCTTTGGTGGGAAGGTAACAGTGTTCTGTGCGCCTTTGCCGTTTATTCATGCCGGCCACATGACCACAGAGATGTCTTCGGACAGTGCTGGCTCTTTGGCTTTGTAACGGTGATGAGCTCTGCCCCCTAGAGTCAGGAACGACTAGCATATATGTGAGAGGGGAACCTTTACCTTTACCTTAAGGTGCTGACAGTTCAATCCTTAAATTGAAGTCTGAGTCTAGGATTTCATAGTTTAACCCTTCGCTGCGTTTATTCTCTTCTATTAGTCATAGGTTTCTTTTAAAGGACCAGGTGTAGCAGCAAAACCACAACTGCCTTTTATCAGATGATTAATGGGGTGAATCGTAACATACCTAATTTAAATAACACAATAAATAAAATATCTATCTAACCTGCCTAGTTCTCTTGCTTCCAATGATTACTTTGCTCTGAATGTTTGGACAGTAATAGGATTCCCCATGTCTAAACCAGAAAGTTATTGTAGGCAGAATGTCCCCTGATGTGAATTGGCACAGCTATGTGACGAGCTAAAAGACGAGCTAAAATGTCCCCTAAAACAAATTTAGGATCTGTTGTTATTTTGATTAGTGTTGCATGTCAATCTTTGAAAAAGGATTGAAATCAAATTTGGAGGCTGGGTTTATCAGATCTTCAAGATAGACCAGAAATGGCATGGTAGGAATTCCAAAAAAAATATTCGGCTGTAACGTAGAATAACAGAATCTTGAAATACTGTCAGTATTTCTCTGTCCCATCAAAGAAAATCAAGGTGAGGTGAGCTGCTTCTTCATGTCACCCTCTTTCTCCTGGCTGAGTCATCTTTTCTGAAACTTCGCCCACCAGCTCCTCTATTTTTTAATGTTTCGCTCATTCCTTCTCAATTCCAAGGCCAGATGTACAGTACATTCCTTCACAGGACCGTATATTCCATATACAATGCACTGCAAAAAAATAGTAATAATGGTCTTTCCAAGAAGAAAAAATTCTTTTGTCTACCACAGTAATCTTTTAAAAGTCAATGAAAATTTTATTTTCCAAATCCCTTCCTACCCACTTCTCCTCTACAATCTCATTTCAATGCTGGTGACAGTTTTATCTTTGTGCCCTCAAGTGTCTTTTCTTGACTCTGAAAACACTTTTGTTAATTTTAGCATAAGAATGTACTGGACTTTTCTGTTGCTAAGCAGCAGACATGTATACAAAATACTGGGCCTATTCTTTTTTTAAAAAAAATTATAACCTTTATTAAAACACATATAACACACATAAAAAAAAACATATAAATACATTATACAATAAACAATTTGTAAGCAAATCAATCTTTTGAAGCATTTGTTTCGTATTGGTCTTTCAGGTAATACGGTTATACTTATTCCCCTAAATCTTAACTTAATAATTTCATTTTACCATTTCTCCCTCCCCTCTCTTCTTTTCTCTAAGACTTCAACTTTAGTAGTCTATGTATTATATATTTGAATTATATCTTTACTTTTAGGGTTTCTCTCTGTGAGTTTATCTGCCCGTAGGAAATTATTTGTATGCACAATTCTATTTCTATTCTATCTTACTTCTAGTTGTGTTTCTTCAATAGTAACATTATGCCATTGATACCATTTATTCCAAATTTTGTAGAATTCTGTATCTTCTTTTTCCTTTAGCTGTTTTGTTAGCCTATCCATTTCACTGGGCCTATTCTTAATATGCATGTGCACATGTCTGCAATATACAGCTCTTTAAAACTTGGCTCTAGCTGATGCTTCACGTTATGTGTGCAGAGGGCACATTGCTAGCAGCATCTCAGTAGGGCTTTATTTTCATTGGACCTTCTGAATGTTATTCTTTTATATTGCATAAAATAGGCTATGCAAGGGGAGGGCTCAGCTTGATAAAGACTATATAATACAAAGATGACAGAGTGAGCTGTTAGATTAGTGCCCTGGAGACTTTATCTAAGAAAGAAACATAGGATACCAGCAAGAGAACCTTCTATCAGCGATAAAGCTTTTCTCCTGGGGGACTACATGATAACATTATCTGTGGAACATATTTTTTTTTATTGGCAATCCTTTCATGTTCCCTACAGATTCTGTGCTTGTCTTTGAGAATTCTTAGTTTATCTCCAGTTCCTCTTTTGTTTTGCTTTTTTTTCTTGTAGCACAAAGCAACTAGTAAGGAATGATGGCAGGTGTCAGCACCCCCAATCTGATACTTTCCATATTATGTTGGACTTCAGCTCCTGTTGTCTCCAGGCAGCACCATGCTGGCTATGCATTTATGGGCGCTACAGCCAAACATCTGTCTGGGCAGCACTAAATTGGGGAAAGCCAGCTAAAACAACAGGATGTCAAAGACGGAAGCAGGAAAATGATTTGCTTGACCTTCACTCAACACTCAGTAACATGTGGGGTTTTTTTTAGAAAGATCCTGGTCATATCTTAGGCTTCAATGTAATCCTGACATTTTACTTTTTCTGACACACAAACACATCTCCACACACCAGTTAAAAAAGACATGAAATGGATTTCACAGTTCAGACAATCACATTTTAGATTGACTTCCACTTCTTCATTCCTCCCTTTCTGCAAATTAGCAGCCAACTAAAAATCTTCCATTAACAACAGTTTCCCATTTTGTCATTAACAGTAAGGTAGCAGAGTAAGAAAGAAGTATAGAAGGAAAGTAGTGCAGCATATCAGCAGTATTATTATGTCTTTTAATTGTTGTTGTTGCTCTAAAGTTGTTATTTGTAGATTCCTGGTATGGATATTAATATTAACTGAAAAATTCCTACTTTGTTTGTGGACTTATTGAATGGGATGATCAAAAGGGTTATTTGAAAGATGCTTTTATTTCACCATGTAACCTGAGATATGATTGTCCAAATTATTCTAATAGGTCTTATTTTTTGCTGCTTAAGTGCAAAGTTTAGCCAACTGCTCTTTTTCAATAGTTTTCATCCACAAGGCATGTTAGGCTTTGAACCTAGAGCTCATCTTTTTCACCCTCGAATAAAAAAAAAATATTGGTCCTCTTGAATTGAATAAAAAGGTAAGAGAAAAATTAATTGACTATATAAAAAAATAAATAATGGGCAGCAGCACACTAGAATTGAACTCCACTGCCGTGTTCATAGTCAGCCATCTCTGAAAAGAGATAATTGTCTGCGTAACAAAGTAAAAAATGATTGAAACTGTCCATTTGTACAGCAAAATATGGCTGACTTAACAAGTATGGTGCTCACTTTGATCTTCCAAAATGCTTTTTGTCTTCATCTAAGAAATACAGACTTGAAGTACAGCCAGAATAATTAATCCAATTCCTTAAATCAAAGAGGGGACCAACATTCTCAGTTTTCAGAAACAGATAATGTTTTTATTATGATTAAATATATAGCATTTTTTATGTTTTCTCCTAGGAACTGAAAGCCACTTTCCTTCCCCAATCAGATTCTGGTTAGAAATTTTATCTCTAACTGCAATCTCACATATCTCAAGGGCATCAAGTTGGAAAAGGCTGCTATAACATTTATTTTTAAAAGTAATTGTCAGATGGATGACTATTAAATAACTGCAAATGCATTTGATTTGTTAAAACTCCTAAAGCATGACATGCTGTATAAAAATGGAGTTCTAGCAATGGTTCTGCCAAATATAATTGGAGTAACCTTAAAGTAAAACCCATTTATCATCTTTAATCCACAAGAGTTTGTCTTAATATAGGAACCGTGGTGGTGCAGTGGTTAGAATGCAATATTGCAGGCTAACTCTGCCTACTGCCAGAAGTTCAATCCTGACAGGGCTCAAGGTTAACTCAGCCTTCCATCCTTCCGAGGTCGATAAAATGAGGAGCCAGATTGTTGGGGGCAATTTGCTGACTCTATAAACCACTCAGAGAGTGCTATAAAGCACTGTGGGGTGGTGTATAAGTCTAAATGCTATTGTCTTTTATAATTTTGAATTATTACTACAATGTTTTCAGTTAAAAATTCTTGAAAATTAATATCCCTTGTTAATAACAAAGCATGTGGAATCTTCGTTTGAATAATCAGTAAGCAGATACTTTGCTCTGTCTATACTTCTGAAACTTTAGCAAAGGGTAGTATTTGGCTAACTTTCCCTGTTTGATCAGAAGCTAAGCAAAACTGCACGAGGTTTGTACTTGAGTGTAAAACAGCAGAAAATCCCAGGGTTGCAGCCAAGGTTTAGAATTTTAAAAAGTCCCCAAAGATAGTAAGGGCAACCACTCCTGTACTATTACCAAAAGAAAAAAACCACCCAAATTTATGTCTGGGTAGTTATCAGGTTCTAAGTGTCTTTTAAGGGATCTTTACCATCACAAGGCAACTGTAAATAAGTAGCGGCAGTTTAAGCTGCATAGGGAGGAAGAAACTAGGGTGCATGATTAGACATATTTTTAACCAACGCTAAGCTATGGAGAAATGTTGTTCAAACACTGCAACTTTGTAAAGATCCTCTTGTCCCTTTTTGCCATATCCCTTTAGTTGCAGAGAGAAACAACAGATTTCAAACAGACAGATTTCAAGGTTTACTGTTTTAACAGATGTTCACATATAAGCCATAAATATGAACAGAGCATTTAATTTAAAGATCTGGATTATGTGTCCATAGATGTCTTCTCAAGAGCTTGAATCAGTGGTATTCAGAGCTGAATTTGGCTACATCAGATAACTCAAGGGTAGTGTAACCTGTTTAATTGCTTCTCCGTGGTACAAAATTTACTGCAATGGGTACCTTCCCCGTCTCTTCCATTCCTATTGTTACTCCTTTTTTTCCAATATATTTATTACCCTTTTATCCACTCTCTCAATTTTGATGTTAAGATTTATAAAATTTGAAAAATCCACCTTCCTTCCTGCTTTCCTTCCATCCCCTCACCTTCCTTCCTCATTTTTACTTCAGGAAATCACCAAACGGGAAGCAGCGAGTAGGCAGTTAAGCTGTATTCAGCTGCCTGTCGACTCGTCAGTGGTACGTAAGATCTGGCATGAACACCACAAGCTTTGTCTGATAGTTTTCTCTCCCTCAATCTCTCTCTCTCTCTCTGCCTGTCTCTCTGTCTCTGTGTTGTGAGCAGTCACATCATTGCCACTGTTCTCATTACGATAGATGTTTGGTTATGAATTTGTTCTCATTGTCAAGTTGATCTTGATTTTAAGTCTCTTCCTTCTTTGAGGGAATTAAGAGGGTATCTCTCCAATGAGCGGAAACCTCTTTTAGACTCCTTAAGAGAGTCCTTTTCATAAACTTTAGACCCCCTGCCAGCATTTCTAAAAGAGGAAGATCTTGAACTTCCTACCAACTTAGAAGCTAGCAATGTGCCCTGACCATTGCCCTTCAGCTCACAGATGGATAGAAATTCTTGCCACTTGCTTTAATTTTGGTTTTGATTGAGCCAAGATAATTGATTGTAGCTTACATCTACCTATTAATGTACGCTGATTTTTAATGAATATAGGTTTATGTTTCTAATTTTTGGAGACAGAGTATTATTGTTTCAGCTGTCTCAGTTGTATTACCAACAACAAAGGAGTATGAATGTAGGTCCACAGTTCATTCAGATCAGTAAGAAACTTGCCCATATGCCCAGCATGAATTCTAAGAAAATATAAAGCATATAGTTTCATGCCATAATCTCCCTTATAGACATGCCTTACAAATTGTCACTTAACCCTTTTGCGTACCAATGCTGACTCTCTTTTTTAAAAAGAGAGAGAAAAAGGGAGAGAGACAGAGACACTAGGAAAAGGTATCAAAGATAGACGGGACCTAAAATCAAGCATGCTTTGTGGATGTTCATATGTGAGAAGACTCTGTCCTGAAAAAGGACATTCTAGAATTGAGGCAGCTACTGACAGTATATATAATATATAATCAGAGACCTTGGGGAATTCTTTATATTGACTGGAGGTTAGAAAAAAAGGGCACATAGGACAGGTCAGGAAAAAAAAAAGGAATATAAATCCTTCTTAAACGATTTACAAAATGTTGGTAGAATATTGTTACAGTTTTTTAAAAATGAATGAAAAAGAACATACTTGTGTATGCGTCAGATATTGACATCATGCAAATATACTCCCCTGTCTTAGATCTATGAAATCAAGCACATCACAAATTCTGTTATCCTTGCCATTGCCTTGTTCTATTATAAACCTGTCCTTCCCTATTTTCCTCCGTTTCTTCTGGTACTGGAAGTGGGGGCTTCTGTTTAGATCCTTTTTTTGACTGCTCAGATTTCTCCAGCCTGGTGCTTTCCAGAGATATTGAAACTACACCATCCTCTGGCCAACATGATGTACACTTCTGGAGAGCACCAGAGTCAGGACAGCTGTTATAGCCATAGGCTGCCTTCCCTACATATTGGTCACTTCCTGGCACATCTCATGCTTATCATGAACAAACTATACTTTTTGCTCACCTAATGCCTTTTTCATTCAGAAAGGCAAACTAGGAGTGAAAAAACAGGTAATTTCTTCAGGAACCTAGGTGGGTAAGGCTTGCCTGTGGTAAATTAGTGTGCTTAGCATTTTCAAGTTGCTGTTGGGTTCTATGGCAGGATGATGTAAAAAAAAATGGGTTTGGTGCTGAAGGGAGGGAGGATAAAATACATTGGCAACTTGTATTAAATAGCACATCAGACAAACTGTCACCTAATAACTAAAAAATCTGTTTGGAATGCAGATTAAAAAAATGAAGGAAAAAAAGCATATTGAATTCCATTTTTGCCAATTGCAGTGTTATCAAAACCAAGCTTTTAATGCAGACTCCCTTCTTATTTTAAAGGATGACTTTACTGACAAGTATCGTTAATGCTTTTTTGAGTTTTTTAATGAGCATTATCTTCAAACATTTGTGAAGATATTTTTTGTGATATGGACCCAGCATCATTTTACATGATTTTTAATATAATATACATATATTTAATTTGCATGTTTAATAAAACTATAAAGACTCAGGTCTGCATAGGCATTTTTCTCGCACATGATCCTTTTTAAGTCAGATTTGAATTGCAGGAAAAGTTTGTTGACAGGATACAGTCCTCCATGTGGAAATTCTAAATTCTCCAAGCTTAAAGCCAATCCATTACCCATTAGATTTTGAAGCATATGAACAGAGATAATATTTTGGAAATATTTTTTATTTATTTTATTTTTATTTTATTATGAAATTTATTTACTGTCCGTCTCGTGTCAAACAACTTTGGGTGGCTTACAGCATAAATATTTAATTAAGATTGCAATTTAGCTCAAGTTAATCATTTATTATTGAGAAAATGAGCTCAAATGCACTGTCTCAATAAAGAGAAATGGGCAGCTATGTCACAACCACATTATAAATTCTGAGGATCATTCTCAAGGGACCATTTCCATTATGACTTTTAAGCAACACAAAATAAATAAAGACCATCCCTTACATTGGACTCAATTGTTTTGGTATAAGGGATCGGTTAATCATGAAAGGCTGAAATGCTACACTTAAATTAATATGCATTAGGGCAACCACTAAGAGAAAATTACTAACCACTAAGGGAAAATTACTTTATCTTTTTTTTTTATACTGTACTTCTTATATTGCTTTATGAAGAAATATGGGTAAGACCTAACACAATTGCTAATGTATTAATCCATGAGCTGCAGATGTGAATGGATTACTGCTTTTAGCCTTATTTTAGCATTAAAAGAAGCAGATGATTCTAATATGTATATTGGGAAAATATCCAAAGGAAGTGACATCAACTTAACTCTAGGTCAGAATAGAAATCTAGTCACAAGTTCATCTTAACTGAATTCTGTATTCTTCAGAAGCATTTTTTTAAAATGGCCCCACCTAACATGAAGTCAGGCAATCAAAATTTGCTTAAAATAGTTTTACTTTAACCCTGAAAAACAGGATTCTGTCCTGTTGGAAGGAGCCCAAGGATGTGCATGCTGGCTTCATTGCCTTGATCCTGAACTCTAAGTGTTAGTGGGGAAGATTTGAGCGGAAATTGGTGGAATCATGTTTGAATGAATACAATTCATTGGATGTCAAATGCAAGGAAGAGCCCTGTCAAGTAGGGATTGTCTTTCAAACCTTCATGATCAGTGGCCAAACCCAAATGGACCATCGTGCAGGGACCATCATGGAGAACTCATGCTCTTTCACTGTTTTATGTTTTCCAAGGGCTAAATAGGGATAGAAATGTGCAGGGTTTCCTATTTATGAATTCCCTGTGCTTAGATGCAAGATACATCTTTAAAAAGTCCACAGCTTGATTGGAGAGAAATGCCTTGCAGATATGTTTATCTACATAGATACACAAGCACACATTTAACTGGAAAAATAAAGGTCAGTACATTGATGATGTGACCTGGATGCTAATCAGGCAAAATTTTCAATTAATTTCAAAAGTCTGCTATTGAACATTATCCTCCCAACCAAACCCGTTCCACTTCAAATTTTTCTCCAGCATCACGTGCCATCATGGTGAGCTAAAGCTTTTTAGTACAACAGCATGGATCTTATTGTATTTTGCTGGGTTAATTGCCTTTCTTTCCTGATTTCATAAGGTTTTGTGTGTTTGTGTGTGTATGTGTGTTATCACCAATTTATTTCTTCTGTGGACTGTCTTTATGAAGCTATCTTGGGTCAGAATTGCCAAAAAAAAGCAGCCTTCAGTCCTTCTGGGCTATTTTACTTCTGGTTCATATTATAGATTATTGCATTACATTAAGCCATGATTGCTTAATTGTAGTTTCCTCAATAAACCAAAGTTAACTGAGTTCAAATATAGTTAGTCATTAACCATGGCTCATAAGCTACAGTGCTTATGCACAAAATATATTAATTCAAAACTAAATGACATGTGGCTTAGTGCAGTGTCTTAATATACCCCTATTATCATTTGATTGCCCCAGAGATAGGCTCCAAAATGGTAATAATGCTTGATTTAAAAACGAGGTAAAGAAAGGAAATGAAGGAGACAAAGACAATTAACATTGGACATTAAAAATATTCCAGGATAACCCTTTAATAGAAAAAGGTCTTATGAATTGCATTACCATTTGATAAAAGAACCTTGACAGCCATTATTTATAGGCTGTTGATTCTAATTTCACTGTCAGAAGCTAAAAATTATTTTTGAGGGACAGCCCTTCAATTCATCCTAATGATTGGATGAATTAAATGAAGGATAGGCCCATCCCCCTGAATCATATTGCTAAAATAGATAGGCCCACTTCAGATTTCATCTTTCTCAACCAGATCTCTGATTAGCCAATTTCAAGGGGTAAAAGTTAGGGTGTTGTAGGAAAATGCAGTGGTTCTGTGGATTGAAGAAAAAAAAGTTGATCCCCGCCTTGTTCCTTTCAACTATTCAGATGAATGGTTCTGTATTTTATAGGAATCGATCCGAAAAGTATATACAGTATATTTTGATTCAAGGCTGCATTCAATTGACTATAATTTCTGCCTTCTCCACCACCTTCATTTAGTCAATATAAAAACCAAGACATACTTTCAGATGTCTGCTTAAAACTATTGTGATTGGGCTAAATTATTGATTAGAATAGAACGAGTGATAAATGCTTGGGAATTAAGATGTGTTAGAGGTTCCTTTGAAGACCTTGGGGAAGGGGAAGGGGGTATTAGAAGCTGGGAGTTAACTACGCTTCCAGGCTGGGTGTCTAGCAGAATGAGATTAAACCAATTGTATTTGCTTGTCTCAAGTCTTTAGCTGCTTTATCTGCTCTTTCCAAAAGTGTATTGTGTAGTGAAACTGGACTACAGATGTGGAATTAAATATTTGCATGCCTCATGTTGTGGAAGGTGGTGTCCTACTGTGGCAACAGTTCAACGGAGCAGTGATTTTTGTGTCTGGTGGGAGAAAGAGTCCTCTTATTCAAATAGGGAATGGCCAGGTAACTTATCCTATTTTTCCTGCTGGCTAAGGCACTTTGTTTTTCTCTAGGGGGATGCTACTAAGTCCGATTCTGAGGGGGAACTTTTCCCCCATAGTTTGGAAGAAGAATGTGGACTTAAGAAAAATTTTTCAAATCCAGCTTGTAAGTAATAATATGATTGCTGTTGTTTTTCCTGCAAATAAATGTTTGCTATTTGTTACATGAAACTTCATGTATATTTATTTTCTTGGTTATGAAGTATAAGAAAAGCAGAAAAAGAGGAAGTCCCAAAAATAGTTTTTCTCAAGACTATCTATCTCCAACCTGGTCCTTCAAGTCTTCCAGAAATACACCCATAGCCATCATAACTGAGTCCATCCATCTTGCTGCTGGTTGTCCTCTTCTCTTTATTTCCACCTTTCTCATCATTAGAGCCTTTTCCAGAGAGTTCAGTTTTTATATAATGTCTTAAAGGTGCTTTTTTTGTTCAAAAGGCAGCTGGGTTGTTTTTTCCTTCAGGAAGTAGAAGAAAATGTTTCACTTCTCACAAGAAGCTTCATCAGTTCTGGTGGGGTGGGGATGATGAAGCTTCTTGAATGAGAAGCAAAACATTTTCTTCTTCTTCCTCAAGGAAAAAACAGTCGAGTTGCCTTTTGAATTAAAAAAAAAAAAAGCACCTTTGAGGCAACTATGACTGGATGACTGAGAATCTCCACAGACATCTTTATATAATGTGTCTGAATTGGTTTCCTTAGGAATATCTAGATCAGGGGTGTCAAACTGGTGGCCTGTGGGCCGGATGTGTCACATGTAGGCCACACTCACCCCAGCTCCGCAAAGAGGAAAAACGTCACGAAACGTCACGTGACAGCAACATGACGCCACGAGTTTGACACCCATTATCTAGATGGACTCCAAAAATCTTGATTCATCATTAGATGGCAGCAAAGGGGTTGAGATGCCTCTATATTTGTTACTGTCTAGGGGCAAAATGTACCAGATTTTTGGTAGTGCACATACAATAGATGTTGTAATAATAATAATATGTGTGTGTGTGTGTTTATAGCTTCAATCAATATGATGTAAGAAATGTCTTCAGAAAGATTCTCTTCACTGGAGGAACTCAACAATAATGAGAGAGGAGCATGGGATAATGTTGATAATTTTGAATATGATGTATGGCTCATCATACAGTATAAAGCTGATATTTGGGACAAAAATCTCTCTATGATAAAGAGTGAAGAGAAAATATTGCTCTGAGTGTACCTTAAGAATGAGAAAGCTATGGCCATCAGAAGTTAAAACTCATTAAATCCTGACTTCTGTGATAGAAAAACAATAGTGGTTGCAGTTCAGGGACAACAAGAAGACCATTTCTAGCATACCTCTGCTAGATGTGATTGTCGTCCATCTTGCATACTACGGAGAGGAAACTGGCCTTGATAGTATCTTAAAGTAAGAGTAGGAAAACAGAGGAGTGTTATTGATAATTCATTAGCATTCATTCATGTTAAAAGGACCGGCGAACCTAGAAAATGAAGATTTGAGAGTCTTGCATTAGAAGATTGAGAGAGGAATGATCAAATCAAGACACATATGAAAGTTGTCCTGATCTCTTGAAACCACATGTCTCTGACTATATATAGGGCATGATATGAATGTTTTGTTTCCTATTTTTTCAGTGATGGCTCTTTGTGACCACCCAGAGCTAAAGAAGAGCTTGACTCCCCCACTTATCATTCACACAGCTGCTACACCCATGTCCATGCCAAAAAGTGCCATCTATGGAGAAGTGGCTCAGGACTATGGTTCCCGAAGAGCTAGTGGCATCTCCATGGATCCTAATACATTTGATCTCAAATCCCCGGTATGTGGTTCACTTTCTACCTTGTATCCTTTGCTTCTCGCCCTTTGCTCCCAGTTTGCCAGCATATTTTAAAATTAATTTTTTCCACCAGTTTGATATCTTTTTGGCACTGTTAATGGAGTTATTGCTTCTAGCATTCTGTTGATATCCCTTATATTCTCACTTGCATCACTTCAGGTCAGTGCCCGGAGTTCTCCACATAGCCCATGGAGTGCAGGAAGTAGCTGGAACAGCCGCAGGTCGAGCTGGAACAGCATTGGGCGGGCACCTAGCTTGAAACGCCGTACAAACCAGAGCAGTGAGCATAAATCGCTTTTGTCCGGGGATGGAAAGCAGAGTTCGGAGGAAGGGGAAAGCTCGGATGAAGAGCAATCCAGCAGGACTGGGAGCATCAATGGCTCTATACCTCACCGCATGGAGTCACTAGAAACCAAAGGCTCCTTTGACTTCCAAGATACCCTGCAGGTGCCTTCTCTTTACCGGACCAGCAGTATCCATAGTAGCCACAGCTCTGCGGCAGACTACAATAGCAAAGCCACCTCAAGAGTCTTGATTCAGCAGCTTCATTTGGATGATCCGCTCCCAGAATGCGATGACATGGATGATGAAGGCAATTTAGTAAGTGAGAGCCAGCTTACTTGGCACCTTTTTGCTTGTGTCAGGATTTGTTCTGTCCCCGTCTCACACACGCACACCAGCAGTTGACCAAGAGTTAAAATAAACCAGCAGACAAGAATTTCCTTTGATAACAGAATTGGCAGCAACCCAGTGGCTGCTTGCCAAAAGTTTTTACTTACAAAGGGAGGTTTTTCTCCTCCATCCGAAACTTCAAAGTAAGTCCACAAAAGCCAAAGAATAGTCAAGTCCAGTCCAAAAATCAATCCAAGCAGAGCATATAATAAAGTTCCAGAAATGCAGAATTACTTGCTAGCTTTCAGTTTTGTTCGTCACAAGGCTTGACTGGCCACCATACCCCCTTTTATCCCCTGTGGGGTGTGGTCCAGTGACTCAGCTTAATCTCTGGCACGCCTCTTCCTCTGCTGCGCACGCTTATCTCTGCGACGCTGTCGGGGGTCCAGCCAAGACTCATCTCCATCGCTGACCAACTGTGGCTGCTCCGAAGTGCCTGGCCCCTGGCCTATCTCTTGGCCTTCGGAGGACACCTGAGGCATTGCCAGAGAGGAGGGTCCTGGAGAGGGAGGCCTTGCCAACCCCTCTCCTTCACTTTCTGAGTCTTCTCCCTCTGATAAGACAGGCTCGGGGGTCAGAGTCACAACAGGATTGTTTGCTGTAGAAGAGAGTGAAATGTTTTCCTTGATCCTTGTTAATTTGCAGAAGGATAACATATCATGCCAATATATTCTTATCTATTGGGCACTGACATATTTATTAATTAATAAATAACTGAAGCCTGTAAGCTAGAGAAATCACAGGGGTCATAACTTAACATGCCCATAAGAGATTGTGTCATGTCATCATATCACATATCACAATATATAATAATATATCATATTGGCAGAGTTAACACAAATACTTAAATTTAAGTGATCATTTGACTAAAAATATTTAGAAGTTCTATATCAGGGGTATCAAACTCAAGGCCCACAGGCTGGATCTGGCCCACGGGGTACTTAGATCTGACCCATGGGGCTGACCTGGAAACAGCGAAGGACCGGCCCACGGTACTTCTGTCAGCAAAAATGGAGCTCAGGAGCGCCGTTTTCAGTGGCAGAGCACTCAGGCCACCACAGTTACCCTTGACACGAGTGATGTCGAGCTGGCCACACCCCCTGGTCACACCCTCCCTGCCCTCTGGAAGTCAAACACAACCATGATGCTGCCCTCAATGAAATCAAGTTTGATACCCCTGTTCTATATGATTCCAACTTCCTATCCCTTTTTCTTTACTCTTGCTCTCCACTCATTATCACATAATCTTCATATGTCACCTTCTTGAATCAATATCTCCCATGAACTCCAGAACTTTGTCTTTGAGATAGCCTAATATGTAATCACAAAAAAAAAAAAAAAGATCCAATTTGGACCTAAATCAATGAGATGCTGGTAATGCCTCTGTTTCCACTCTGTTTCCCTCAGTTTTCCTGTGTGCTAGATATTCCGACTTCTATCACCACAATCTCCAGCCAGCATGGCTAAAATATTATGGATTCAACTCATGTGGAAGATGCCAACTAGGGAAAAATTGTTGTAGGGGAGAAGAAGATGAGATGGAATAACATTTGGATACTGGCTTTGGGGAACTAGCTATCATAGACATGATATTCTGATAGCTAGTCCCCCAAAGCCAGTATCCAAATGTTATGGATAAAGAGGAATGTTATAAATCTTCTGTATCCTATCAATCATCTGGGTAGATTTCATGCCACCTTCAGCAATCCTTATGCTAAGGAGCATGGTTGTCATGGAAGGAGACCTGTGCTCAAGATGATCCATGATATATTCAGTTCCAAGCACTGCTGATTTGGAGTGAGGATATTTTAGCATGCACCATCTTATAAATGTTTGTGATGATTCTTCCTAGATATATTTGGCAACTGAGCAAGTAAATAAATAGCTAAATATGCACTAGGGCTTGCAAGAAAGAGGGTGATCAGCTGGGTATCTGAGATTCTTACATACAGATCAATGGTGGGATTCAAAAAATTTTATTACCAGTTCTGTGGGCGTGGCTTGGTGGGCATGGCTTGGTGGGCATGGCATGGGAAGGATACTGTAAAATCTCCATTCCCACCCCACTCCAAGGGAAGGTTACTGCAAAATCCCCATTCCTTCCCAATCAGCTGGGATTCGGGATTGAATCCCAGCTGATTGGCTGGGCAGAGAATAGATGGGGGCGGGGCCAGTCAGAGGTGGTATTTACCGGTTCTCTGAACTACTCAAAATTTCCGCTACCGGTTCTCCAGAACAGATCAGAACCTGCTGAATACCACCTCTGATACAGATGTGTACATACACACATCTTTTTCAGTTTCCCTTTTCTGCTTTCATTGAAAAGTCAGGAGAAAGGCACATTGACCAATGCATTGCTGGACACAACCATTCCAGCGGTGAGATTGAAAGAGAAGGTAACCTTGGTCAGGATATAATTTTTATAATCAGAGCTAGCCCTGGTTACAGTTCGGTCTGAGCAAAGGATAAAATAATCCCACTCCAGAAAAGCAACCTATATTAGTTGTTAAATCTTATTTCATCACAGGAGAACATCTACAATAGCTAAAGGTTAAGACCAGCTTAGGGCTACAGATTGGAGCTGAGCTAGCTGTATCACTCTGCTTAAGAGTACAGCTGCGCAACAGAAATCTTGTCTTTTTTTGGGGGTGGTGGTGGTAGAGAGAATGCTCAGCCTTTTCCCCCGATCTTCTTTTTCATGTCAGAACAGGAAGGAGAAGAGCAAACTCAAGCTCCATTAGCCCAAGAATCTGTGGTTTGTTTGCTAAATGATGTGAGAGGCACCAGCATTAACTTGATTGCCTTCAGCAAGATATTCTTCACACACACAGAAAGATGTGGGGAGGGGTTATTAGCCTTTTTTTCCCCTTTCAAAGGGCTATATAATCTCCTTAATTTCAAGCAGGTGATTTCTTCTACCATTAACTGTTATTAAGATTCCTAAGTAAGGGCAAAGATTGGCCTTTTCGTCTCATGGGGCCACAAGAATCTTGGTATTAACGTCAATATAAAAAGGCAGTAGTCTCATTAATGATAGTTTTTTTTTTTTCCTGAGCCAGTAGGAAGCCATTTAAGAAATGCTAGTTAACATCAGTAGGCACGGTACTAAAAACAAGAGGAAAAAGTCACTGGCAATTTGAAACTGATAAAGCTACATTAGCTTTACTTGACAGCAAAACTCTGCCATTTGTACTGGGACCCATTAAATTCCAATGCTGCTCAAGACAACACAAAAACCATCAGAGATGGTTATAAGGAAGCAAATTGCAAGAGAGAAACCTAAAGCTTAAACATGAGCAAGGGCAACTAGAGAGATTGTACATGACACCCATTAGGAAGGAACATGGTCTTTGGGCACTCAGAAGGTGTGGAATGTAACTATTGGAATAACAGTCTATAGAAAAACCCTCCCTTGTGTAGCCCTGGCTCCTGGAATGGCAAGCGAGGACTGCATGACGGCATCATGCTAGATAATGATAGTAAATTAATTAGCCTCAAAAACAATTAAGGCTTGATGGAATTGAATCCAATCTGTCAACTCCAATTCTGCAACACCAGGTTTAAAAACAACAGTGAAATGAGCAAGAATACCAGCTTTAAATAGAGAAAATGAATGGGCTGGAAGACTGCAGCCAATGCAATCCCAAATTGCAGTAACAGAGGGATACAATCAAAATCAAGTGAGGTACTAATATCACTCTATAAAGAGTGTTAGTAAGACCACACCTAGAATGCTGCATCCAGTTTTGGTCACCACACTATAAAAAAAGATGTTGAGACTCTAGAAAAAAAGATGTTCTTGAGACTGAGGACCAAGGTAGACATACCATTAATTATGCACTTTCATAATAAATAGCAAAAGCATTGTGCACTAATGTTTTTGTTAAATAAATATAGACCAAGTGGACTTTCTAGGAAGGACTCCATTGGTAACTGAAGTACAGTAAAAAAACACCCTTCAAAGACTGTTCAGGCTTCCCCTCATTTCCTGTTTATATGTTGCAAAGTTAACAAATAAACTGTAATTGTGCCAAATCTAGTATGGCCCTGAAATATTCAGTAGCTGATTTTTCAGTCTTGTCATTCTTTTAAATATCTGACTTGTCTTCATCACTTGGTGGAACAGCCCTAAAGGACATGGAAAAGATATTCAAATGCTACAATGTGTTTACACCCCCCAAATATCAGCCTTGTGCAAGCTACAAGGCTGATATTTGCTCCACCAAGTGTTCGTCTATAACACATTTATTGACTGGTTACTGATAGTTGATCCTAAAAGGCTGAATCTATTCACCACTACAGTATCTTCATTTTCTGTTCTGTGTGGGGTGGCTCTACTTGTTGTCATTTGTTTGTTTTTAAATTTAGCCCCATTTTTCACTGTGCTCCTTGAATTTTATTATTAGGGCTTATAGATTCTTTGCATTTTCAGCCATCAGTGTAGTATCATCAGCATAGAAAGGACTATAGTTTTTTCTTCTAAATATTCTATAACTACACTAATTTCTTTCAGTCCAGTTTCCCTTAATACACATTTGGCATAATAGATTGAATAAATAAGAGGAGAGTTTATGGCCTTGTCTCACTTCTTTGCCAACCTTGAGCCAGCATGTTACACCTGCTCCCCAACCTGCTCCATGTTATACCTACTCCCCAACCAAAAAAAAGGTGGTTGGTTGGTGGGACTGATGGATTGATTGATTGAATATTCTTGCTCAAAAATCATCATAATGTTGCACATTAGAGTGAAAAAAATAATGGAAGAACAAGAAGTTAGTATTAAAATGGTTGAAAACATTAGAACAACAAAACACTAAATTTATAAGGCCAGATTTTAAATTGTCTTGATACCTTTTTTGGAAACAATGAGTGTGAGCTGGAGAGCAATTATAATTTTAAATATACTACAGTGTGAGTGCAATATGGGG